CTCCAGCCCCAGAGCTTGCTCCCGTGACTGCTCCAGCCCCAGAGCACCCTCAAGTGCCCGCTCCTCCAGAGCGCCGACCAGAGTCCGCTCCTCCAGAGCGACCCCTTGGATTTCCCCAAGAAGATTTTTTGGGGGGGGGGCCATACACCCGTGGCCGAGCCAGCCAAGGCCACGGAGGATCCACCATGGCCTCCTGAGTCCCCTGCTCCGCTGTGGCCTCCTGAGTCCCCTGCTCCGCTGTGGCCTCCCGAGGTCCCTGATCCGCCGTGGCCTCCCAAGGCTCCTGCTCCGCCGCGGACTCCCGAGGTCCCTGCTCCGCCATGGCCTCACAAGTATCCTGCTCCGCCATGGCCTCCCGTGTCCTCCGCTCCGCCATGGTTCCCGGATCCACCCTGGAGGCTCTCCGTGGCTCCGCCCGATTCCAATCCTGCACCAGCCTCCAGGGCGCCCACACTCCCTCCCCGATGATACGGTTACGGCGTGGGTCGCGCCTTCCGGGAGGGGGGGCGATCTGTCACACCCCTGTGGACTGTCTATTATGGTTTCTCCCTCTGTGTCCTTATTTGGTTGTTCCTGTTCTCATTGTGCTCACCTGTCTGCCCCTCGTTATCCACCCTATATCAGTTCCTGTCCATTGTGTTCCAGTTTGTCAGTTATTGTGAATGTTACCCTGTGCGTGTGCTCCTACCCTCTTGTTAAGTTATTAAAGGTTTCTTGTATCCTTCATCCTGCCTGTTCTCTGGCACAGCAACACCGTGACACTATTACTATTTTGCTGTTGTAAGGGAAGCAGGTCAATTTAGCTCAAAAGGAATCATTTAAGATTTTAAAGGGAATTTGGACAGAATCACTGTTTTACGGCTGATCACTGAGACCGCCAGCGATTCATTGAACGAGCCGTACAACATCAACTCTGCAATGGATATTAAAACAAGATCGGCAGTTTAAGACATTAACTTGAAAGCACAAAACACAATATACTTCTCTTTTCAATATCAATAAGACTTTATTGGATACATCTTAGACATATAAACTAGTCTAACACCTAAACACATGCACTTACACATTCACACAAGTTGCAGGAAGAGAGAAAGTAAGGAAAGAATGAGTTTAAGAGAATGAAAATGGGAAATCCCAAGTTTACAGCAATGTGTGCAATTGCATAGACCCAAACAACCATCAATCACTTAATTATTCGCATTGAGTTCGTCAATGAGGTTAAAATTTATATTAAATGCACCAGTTCAGCTAAAATCTGGAGGTACTTGCGTTGCCTGTGTAAGGGGTTCCCTTGTCGTCATTGCAGAAAAAAGGGTTTCCTGAGGTTGCTGATTGGCTGGAAGTTCAGCAGTCATTGAAGTGATGTCTTGGGAAGCCAATGGTTGGGCGTTGACTGAATGGCGACGCGGAGTTGTGGGCTGGGTGAAGTTTTAGACGGCACTCGAGGTTGGACTCGGAGACACGGCATTAGGCAAAACTTAACTCGGAACACAAAACTCTCAACGGAAAAGAAAATAAACTAAAGTAAAGGAATAGAAGTAAAGTTTCTAGGTGGTTTTTCTTCTCATCGTGGCTAAGTAGCAGCGGGTGTGCAGGCCGAAGCACACTGGAACGGCACTCTAAGAATGCAAAAGTAATGGCAAAAAGCCATGACTAAAAAGAGGGTGATTTGATGGTGTCCTGAGTATTTAAACTGGGCTTTTGGACACATCCCAAATGGTGCCTTGACCAATTAGATATCGTCTTTGCTC